AATAGACTTAATATAATAAATTACGGTACATGTAAATGCTTGTGTTGTGTATGTGAAGTGTCATGATGCTACATTTTAAGATGTACACTCATGTTTCAGTTATCTGCATCTTGCTATAACAGGAGGAGCACCTTGTCTTATAGATCCTTTGTCCTATACGTAAAATTTGTGATAATGTTAGCATATGTACATGTACATGTAGCTACATTGTGTGTTGTAGTTACACTTAGTATTTGATAGGTATCTGTCTTTTTTTATTATTTCTCTTTTGTTTTATGTAGGTGATAAAATTAATGTCTCCATGTTCAATGAATGTAATATAATTATCAAGTACATGTACTTACTAAAGCAAAGAGAAGATACGTTTGATACTGTTAGTTCTTTATTGTTACATTTCTTGATGTACATGATTTTTTATGATTATACAAATGTATGTACATGTACATAAGTAATGAAATACATGCACATTTATATGTATATACATGTTCATTGTACATATTGAAAAGACTTATTCACCTCTTGTCTGGTATTTTTAAGGTTTAGCAGCAGTCTATGATATACATGTATAAATAGAAATTTTAAAATTTTGCAAATGGCCAGTGATAATTCTGTTGCACTTTTGGTTTTTGTGAATGCACCTTGGCCTATCATGGCTATCCTAAAATTTATGTACATGTACAAGTCTATGTTGTATACTGTTAATGTAGGGTTCTATCACACCTTAAAATGTCAAAATTAGCAGAAAATTTCTGCTTCAGAAACTATACTTTAATTTTTTAATGTTCTTCATGATTATATTCAGTGGACTATAGTCACTCCAGTTTTGTTCCATAGGCTAGTGTTGTCAAGAATGGTGTACCATCACTGTTTCCTTGTTCCTGTCTCTTAAAGGTGTGGTTACGGTTGCCAAGGCAACAGGTAAGATTTTCAGCACCAACAGAACTCCAGGTAGTATGTACCTGTACTGTACATGCACCCTAATATTTAAAATTACTATTGCTATTACCTTACTATTGCTATTACCAGGGTTTCCCACAGGATTTTGGTATTGTGCTGAACAACCCTGTACTATACTTCATGGTTATGGCTAAAAATCGCCAGGAGAGAATTTTGCATTTTTATTACTTTTTCTGATATATACATGTACTAATGTTGTGTCGCAAGTTTGGGGTGTTTTCCATAAAAATAGGATTTATAATGAATTTTTTAAATTGATAAAATTGATGTCTCTTTAGCTTGAGGGTGCCTGTCAGTTTTTCTTCTGTGAACTAGTATACTACTGCGCTTGCGTGCACTATCAAATCCACCTCCAAGTTAATCTTGTTTATATAATCGTTGCTTAATCTGTAAATACATGATCCTAAATTTTCAGCCGACTCTGATCTAATTTAGATGTTTAACAGTTACTCAAAAAACATGTACTATACTATTGTAAAGCTTGTAATCTCTTGAAATGTGCTGTTTAGCTTACCCTAACAGACTCTTTCATTTTCACCTTGTGTACCAATGACATTCCTTAATTAACCTTCTCATAAAGGACACCTCTTTATAACAAACTTCATTGTCTCAAAGTGTCCATTATATAGTGGCTCCACTGTATGACATTTTCCTCTCTATTCCTTGTAGGGTGAATTAACTCATCTCTGGTCCATTGATTGCTGTAATTATATTTATAATCACTGGAGCCTCTCAATGCTTATCCTGTTCTTATTGCATGGGAATATTACCAGAAGAACATGGTACATGATAAATATATTAATAATAATATTATTTTATATTTGCATTATACATGTAGAATAATTCATTTGTTATTTATGATTGGGAAAATGAAAGACTACTGATATCGGAGAGGTAAAGATGGCTAAGTCATTAATTATAATTATTATAATTGTTTTTTAGTTAATAGACATTCTTGAGACAATTAGACCATGTGATCAATTAATGACAGTGTCTAGGTTAGTCATGATCCCTACCTACAAGAACCTCCGCAGCTGAAACTGGTACATACATGTACACGTAATGTATTGTACATGTACATGTAATACTGTACGTGTACATATATATGTAATACCGTAGGTTGGGATATATTACAGCTGCTATTACTGACGATTTTTTCCACGACTAGCAATTGCTTAGCAACTTGGTGTTATTTTAATTGAAAATGGTGTAGTATTGAAGCAAAGCACCCTAGGCTGCTGTACTGTTCTTTGGTTGTTGTGTTACTAACTCTTGGTCTTTTTGTGTTGCTTTAATTAGTTCTTTTCAGAACTACTGTCTTGCTGTATCTTAGAACTTTCCACCCATTCCAATTAGTGTTTATTGACTTGGGTGTGATTATCACCAGGACACGGAAGCAACAATTTGCAGCAAAGAGCTCTGATGTAGAGGCCCGTACAAGAAGCTAATGGATAGAGAATGAGTCACTATTGGTGAATGGCTCCACTAAAGCTGCTGAAGAATAGATAAATAGCTGAACACTAAATATGTGGTGTTATTGTCTGAATATTTTTATCACTGCGAATAATTGCAGGCCTCAAATATATCCTAATAAATGTATTAAACAGCTTTGTGTTTTGTTTGATGGTATTTTAAGGCAGTTTGTGATCTACCCAGTAATTTTACTTTTTGTTTGGTCTTTCTTGTGCATATGCAATGCACCTGTACAGTAGTGTACAGTAGTATACAGTGGTATACAGTAGTATACAATATTATACAGTACTATACAGTAGTCTACAGCGGGGCTGGGGTGAAGGACGGTATGCAGTACTTAAGTACATTACAAGTTCTCTAAAGCTATCATAAGTACAAGTACAAGTACCTTCTTCAATTATGAAGTCCAAGTACAACTATTTGTCATGTACTTAAGTACAATTCTAAATATACCTTTTAGATCACAATTACTTGTTCTTACTAATAAATTGACTAAGTTTAATTTTATAGGCTAAATGAATCATTACATCTGATAAACATTAATTGTTGAATGCATTTATCTTTTAACAAGCATCTTAAAGGCATACAAACCCTCCCAGCTATACTAAAGAGTGTCTCCACGGTGGCAGAGGAGGCTGGCATACTTTAAATGTCTTTGGCCATTTGAGCAAGACTAAAATATTCTTTTTCATTATCCTTTTAAAAATTAGTTGGATCTGAATCCATTGGAAGGTAGGAAGCAGATAGGTATTTATCAATACTTTCTTCCACATCCATGAAATTGAATGACAATTTCTCTTCTTTTCTTGGATGGACGTTGCAAATCGCTTGTAGATTCAATTATTGAAAGGTTGGTTGCTGATGATTGGTACTATGATGCTTCATCTTTTAGCATTGCTTTATACCTCAATTTATCTCTTTCACTTTGACACCATCTGCATGTAAGTTTGAAATGAGGATCAACAATGCTTGCCAGTATGTATGTTTCAATCCCTTTTCATAAAACATGAAATCCTTTTTTGTAAAGATTTTGTTAGCGCTGATACAAAGAGGAGTGATATTTAGTAGAATGTTTATTCATATGATATTGCAATCCTTTTACACAAGGGACAATGTACCCATCAGATGGGACACACACAGCTAACTTGTACAAAATCTGTTGCCTCTTGAAATGAACTGAGTATCTCAACATTATCCTTGAGGACATTGCGGTTATGAATAGTAAGTGGTGGAGTGCCTTCCAACATTAAAAGCTTGCTATCAGGTATAGAGATAACAGGTTTAATCATTATTAACTGTGAATTCCACCTTGTGGCATTGTCAGCTTGCAGT